GGTTTAACCTGTGTAAAAATATTCATTGGTTTGTGACACCGGGTTTCTAAAAAAAAAAATGACGCTTGTCCATGGAATTTTTGGCACAACCCTCGAATGAAAATGATGTTGTAGAAATTGTGATTGTGCTTTCTTTAATTTAATTTTCACTGACATACATCGAGTATAAAAAATCATGCTGATCTCTCGTCTTGCTTGTAAAGAAATTTGGTATAAAGATATCTGTTAATCACCTGTGGCAGTTAATTTTATTAGGTATATATGTACGAAAATTTACAAAGAGACTTGCCGTGTAAGAACCAACATGATCCCACCCAATAAATCACCGGGGGTCAGTTCGACAGCGAAAAATGACCCCCGGTCATTATTCGACGAGAAAAATGACCCTTTTGCCCGTAGAAAAAGTGTCCCTTCCTAAAAAATTTGCAGAACCCACGTGAAAAGAAAAATGACCCCCGTAGAAAAATGACCCCCGGAGATTAAAGCTAAAATTTTTAGGGGGCAAAAAAAAAATGGATAAAAAAGCATATTGGCCAAAAATGCTCACCTGAGCTTATTGGGAATGAACTGATGATATGTTGATCTCATAACATTATACAATTATAGCTATATTTTAAGGTAAATGCAATGATTCAGAATCTAAAGGAGTAAAAGATTTATCAAGCCTTAAGGGTTAGGTAAACATTGTTTTTTGATGGTGGAAATCATCGAACTGACAGAAAAAAATCAGCAGGATTATATATTTCATGTATTATATCCTCCGCTTGAAGAGCGGGAGGGTATATAGTGATTTGGATGTCCGTCCATCTGTTACGCTTTGAGGTATCCATCTCTTATCCGCAAATCCTCATATACAAAAAGATGTGTTTGTGAAACAGCTATGCCCCTGTATGGCAACATAGCGAAGATTAAACTTTTCTTACATGCAATTTAAATATATTGTTACCCAAAGTAGGGTCTTCTCACAAGAAATACAACTGCAAAATAGGAAAGCCCTGAGCACCACTTGTTCAAAAGTAATGGCTGAAGGATAAGTTTTTAAAGGAGGTTAAACTCAAAGGTCAAAATTGATGATTTCTTAAGAAAATGTTTAATGTAACAAGGATTACATATGTGAAGTGTGAATACCCTAGCCATTACCGCTCAAAAGTTATGGCCAAGGTAAAAAAAAAATCATAAGTACGGAAAACTCCAAGGTCAAGGTCAAAAGATCAAGGTTTCTAGTATCCAATGAAAGGTAATGCCAAACAACTACATATTTGAAGTATGAAAGTACTAGTATCTACCGTTTAAAAATTATGGCCAAAGTAAAAATTTGGCATTTTTGTGTAAAATTGGACAAACTCCAAGGTAAATGTCAAAAGGTCAAATTTGGTGGTACCCAAAGTAAGGTCTTGTCACAAGGAATATACATATTAAATATGAAAGTCATAGCTCGAATAAATGAAAAGTTATGATAAAGGTTAAGGTTTTTGCGGACAAACAAACCGCCAGATAGACAGACGAACATACAGACGAACATGATAAAACTATATACCCCCCGAATCTTCGATAACGGGGACATAAAAAGAAATGGTCTTCAATTAACTTTTCATATTAATATACATTATAAAGAAGATTACAACAATGAAAATGTTTGTTCTGATTTTCATATTAAATTCTCTGAAAATATATTCAAAACTGAGTAAAAGGGTGGAGTAAAACAAGAATTAAGGTAGAACCTATGTCAAAAGTCTTTGTCACAAGATTTTCAAACTTTTCAAAATGATAAATTAGTACTTGCTTATCAATCAGTTAAGATATCATGATATGTTTCCTTGTTTTTTAATCTAGAACAGGCTGTGAAACTTGGTATGGTATTTACATACTGCGACTTCACATTTTCAAATATTTTGGGGGGTACTTGTCATAAAGGGAATATGAAAAATCACAAAAATACTTCTTCAAACATCGTCGTTTATAAACTCTTTTAAGTGAATAATATTAAACAAAATTTTATCAAGAATAATTTCTTTTTTATTCAATTAACATAAAAGGTAAGTCCACCATTAACAAAAATAGTCAAATGAACTCTATTATTTTTAGTCAATTATTCACCCTATATTTGTAAATATTTTTTTAACGTCTTTGTCACAATGTTTTCACAATCTTCAATATGATGAAGAACATAGCCAAATGATAAAAAAAAAATGATTAAAATATATATACCTTTCCCCTCTAACTAATGAAAGATAGACTATTTACCTTTTCTCATATTTTTGACCTTTTTGCACTTACACGGGATTCAATAATTAAATGACTGTTTGGGGTTACTTTCAGATTAAATATTTATCAAAAATTGTATTTTTACTTTAAAAAGATCATATTTAATAGAAAAATTGTAATCAAACACTAAGAATATGAATAGGTAACAAATAATTGTTAAAAGGAATGCACATCATTTCATTATAGATATCACAAAAATGTACAAACGATCGCACGATCTACAACACGTACATCTTTGACTTAGACACATTTCATCAAGATATTACGATTTAGCTGGCAACTAAAGATTTCTTACGATTTATGCATTCCTTCAAAATGGTTACATACCATTAATTCAAATTATTACGAAAGTTGTATATACATTGTAAGTTCATTACACTAGATAGTCTTGGGTTTGTCAACTTCAGGTCTAGATCTAGTAAATAAAAGGTGCCTACATATTTTCTCTTATTCCAGAAATATATTGCCATTAAGCATTATAAACCAAAAATATATGAATTGAATCAAGATTATGTTGGCATGATTGAATTCTGTGAATTTCAAAATGCAGTGTTTTCTACCATTTTTATTGAAGCTGTCAAGTACGGAAAAAGTGGCATTGAATTAATTGATATGACGTCTGAATGGGTTAGCACAGGTTTAACACATTTACAAGTTATGATGTCATACGAAGTAGGTTCTACGTTAAAAGAAATGTAATGAATACTGTGTGCTAAATCAAAAGTTTATGTCTACATGTATAGTTTTTGCATTAGAATGACTGTGTATTTTACACTAGCCCATAGCTTTACAGAGCATATTTGTAGGCTTATACTACCCCACCCCCTTTCTTATTTAGGAGGAAGTCGATATTGAACAAAAGCAAAAAAAAAAAAAAAACACCCATACCTTTATTTTTCTATAAGAAGGAATTAAAGATAAGCTAAAAATAATCTACTATTCTACTAATTTTTAACTGTTACTTTGCCACAATACTTTCAAGTATACCTCCACCAACATTTAAAGTATGCTTGAATCATGGCGAAGTAAATTATGATATGATAGTACTTGTGTTTAACTTCATTTCAATAAGGCTTAACATCATTTCAATATTTTATCTAGAGCATCTTTCAGAATTATTGAAAGGTATAGAGTTTTATTTATATTTTTGCTTTTCATTTATTATTATTTTTTTGTTTTGATTTAACGTAATGTTCTTTTTTTGGGGGGAGGGGGTAAAAATTTCCTCCTCTTTCATTGTCAAATAGGATTTGCCAAACTTAAACAAACTAATAGTTGAAATGACGGAAAATTTAATTTTTCCTATTAAAGAATATTTAAACCTGATTTTTGCATGGTTTGATTTCTAAAAACAAGTGGAATATCATTCTTTAAGCGAACATTATAAGGAGGAATATTAAAAAGAAATTTTATTTACTTGACAATTAAAGAATCTCTTTTCAAACACAATTTTAGCATTGAAAGACTACGTGAATCTCTTAATTATTTCATACGACTTTTTGTATTTTTCTGGTTACAGAAAATGTAAAAATTAGTTTCCCTGTAAAAAAGATATCGAAGAGTGTATATTTTGTATCACTTTAAAGGGGGTCATTTTTCAATGGGGGTCATTATTTTATAGGACTAACATATAAAATAATGACCCCCTTGGACCTTTTTTCTACAAAAAATGATTTTTTTCTACGGTTGGGGGTCATTTTTTCTCGTTGAAAAATGACCCCGCGGTCATTATTCGATGGGGGTCATTATTCGTCTTTACACCGGATGTGAAGGGGTTAATATAGGTGCACAGTTTCACTCCTTCCCGACTTTTATGTCGGTCTTTCCTTTCTTCACATTATAAGAGAAACTTCGTAATTCAGTAATTTAAAGACAAATGATACAAACTTTTTTTTTTAAATGACAAAAAATCAGCAATATCATATAGGCTGATTTTTACCATTTTGCTTTTTCTGATAAAATTGACCTGGTTTGGTTTACTTTTCTAAAGTTTATATTATACTAAAAGCACCAGGTTAACATATTCTAAAATTTCTTTTCATCTGTAAACCTTTACTGAGTGTGTTTTGTCCATATTTGTAATTTTAATCAAATTGTACTTATAATTTCCAAGTAGTCTGTTTCATTTTCCAGTTCTTAGGAGAAAAATTCTTCTCCATTTTCTAAACTAGTGACATGATATTAAGTCTCCAACAGAGAAAAAAATGTTTGTATCATCTGTGCTAAAAGGACCAGAAAACATTTTCATTTGTACCAAACAATAATGCCTTATGCATTCCTGTAGGAGTGAATTAAAGGATCAACATATTTGATCACACTTAAGCAATAAAATGTTTTCTTTGATTGTTAACTAGTACAGAAATGCATATCGCAGCTGTTGCAGAAAAAATACATAACCCGCATAAGCGGGTTAAGTAATTTTTTTCTGCAATAGCTTCGACATTGGTTCCTGTACTATCAACCAAAGAAAGACATTTTATTGTATTATATTTATATCTGTTTAAATGATCATTTAAAGTAGGATTAAAAAGATTGATTATTGTATTAATAATGCAAAAGTCTTTGTACGTTTCATTGATGGAACAGCCAAGAAATCTGTACAAGTGACATGCCTAGTGTAGTTTATGCACTGATTAACGCAATGGGTTTCTTAAGAAATATAGGAGAAAATATTAACCACTCTTTTGAAAAAAAGATAGTTGATAGTAGAATAAGAAGAATTTTCACTGTACAAACTGTTGTTGTAGAAATTGTGGCTTCTATAATTTCAAGTTCACTGACATACATCGAGCTATACTCCTACAAGTAAGAGCCTCGGTTAACGTCCCTACGCTCCTTATATTCCTCACCAATTCCAAAGTATCTCGCCGTGAACTTCTAGCATGCTGGAGTAATATCGAGTATAGAAATTCATACTCATTCCTGTATGTCTTGGAAAAAATATGTAATAAAAAAGCATCCGTTAATCACTTGTGACCTTAAATTTTATTAGGTATGTACGAAAATTTACAAATAGACCTACCTGCAGTTCCTGAGAACCCAGACACAGTGAGTTTGTATTTACTGTCTTCATTCCCGACATAAAATGTGGAGTACTGAGCGTATGCTTCAGCGCCATCAAAACTTTTCAACTCAACCCGGATTTCCCGGTCTTTGTTCTTTGTCAACTTATAGATTGCGTCATTTCCTTTAGAAATATTTTAAAGAAATATCTTAAATTCCAAATTCTTGCTTAAATTCCGACACTGCGTTAAGATAGGCACCTTATAATGTCAATACATATCAATAAAGCACTTTTTTGTGCGCAATAAATATACAGTTTTTTCAATGGGTGGCACTGTAGCTCTCCGGTCTATCAATATATTTTTTTTTCGAAGAGCTACAGATCTGCAGCTAAGTTGATTCGATATGCAAGAGCATGCTCTAAGTATAAATAGTTTCTAAAACGAGGTGAATTATTAACAAGCAAGTTGATGAAACAAGAATATCAGCAGTCTCATTTAAAGTAATCATTTCGTAAGTTCTATGGTAGAGACAATGAATGACCTTTTTAGCAAATACAATTTATCATTGAGTCAAATGCTGACTGATGTTTTTCATACCAATTATTAGTCCATCGTTTATGCACAGTATTGACAACGGATTTTTCCATTATTTCCCGATCAAACCGGTAAGGGTAGCCTAGTGGTAGAGCGTTCACTGAACAGTAGGCCCGTGTTCGATTCTCCTTTGCGGCATACGTAAGAGTAAAAATAGGTAGTGACTGTTCCTTCGCCAAGCGCTCGGCAGTAGTAGTGAAAGTCACGGGTCTTTCGGATACGACCTTAAAAATGTAGGTCATGTGTCACGGTATGCATTGGCATGATAAAGAACCCTCACTGCTCAATGGCCCTGAGTGCTGAGTATAGTTCTAAATTAAAAGTCCTTCACCAGCATTCGGTGATTTCTCATTATGAGTGAAAAATTCTCGAGAGGGACGTTAAACAACATACAATCAATCAATCAATCAACCGATCATGACAAGGAGTACACGGCGGGTGTGACCGGTCAGCAGGGGATACTCACTCCTTTATGACACCTGATCCCAACTCTGATGTTTCGAAGGTCTGTGTTTGCTTTGCTCCTGTTTTGTATTCTTTTATGGACTTTGATATTGGATACTGTTCGTTATCTCCATATTCTTCTCCATTTCCTTCATTTAGATAGACAAATTATAATGTAAATGTTAAATAAACTAAACTCACCAATCCAGTAGTTTGTAGAGGATTCCCCAAATCCTTGTTTATATTCTGACCACGTCTTGTAAAAATCTGTAGATCCGTCTTGTCTTCTTTGTATAGCCTTTAACAGATTAAATGATGTTTAATTTCTTTTGAATGATTTTAAACGTAAGTAATTGACGACGTGTTAATTTTATTTGAAAAACAGATTTAGATTCTATGTTTCGTAAAAGAAACATCTTAAAACACTAAGTAATTTTATTTTCTTGGGACAAGGAGTGGACTTTTTTGTCACTTTTTAACAATCTTTAGTTGTACTCATCGTCCACCCTCCTCCATCTGTACTGTCACAGTAAAGAGACCTTACTACTGAGGCTCACACTCACCGTCCACCCTCCTCCATAAGTTCTCATGTCACAGTAAACAAATCTTACTACTAAGGCTCACACTCACCGTCTACCCTCCTCCATCTGTACTCATGTCACAGGAAACAGATCTTACTATTGAGGCTCACACTTACCGTCCACCCTCCTCTATCTGGACTCATGTCACTGTTAACAATCCTTACTACTAAGGTTGACACTCACCGTCCACCCTCCTCCATCAGTACTCGTGTCACAGTAAAAAGACCTTACTACTGAGGCTCACACTCACCGTCCACCCTCCTCCATCTGTACTCATGTCACAGTAAACAGAACTTACTATTGAGGCCCACACTCACCGTCCACCCTCCTCCATCTGTACTCATGTCACAGTAAACAGACCTTACTATTGATGCTCACACTCATCGTCCACCCTCCTCCATCTGTACTCATGTCACAGTAAACAGACCTTACTACTGAGGCTCACACTCACCGTCCACCTTCCTACATCAGTACTCATGTCACAGTAAACAGAACTTACTATTGAGGCCCACACTCACCGTCCACCCTCCTCCATCTGTACTCATGTCACAGTAAACAGACCTTACTATTGATGCTCACACTCATCGTCCACCCTCCTCCATCTGTACTCATGTCACAGTAAACAGACCTTACTACTGAGGCTCACACTCACCGTCCACCTTCCTACATCAGTACTCATGTCACAGTAAACAGACCTTACTACTGAGGCTCACACTCACCGTCCACCCTCCTCCATCTGTACTCATGTCACAGTAAACAGACCTTACTACTGATGCTCACACTCACCGTCCACCCTCCTCCATCTGTACTCATGTCACAGTAAACAGACCTTACTACTGAGGTTCACACTCACCCTCCTCCATCTGTACTCATGTCACAGTAAACAGACCTTACTACTGAGGTTCACACTCACCCTCCTCCATCTGTACTCATGTCACAGTAAACAGACCTTACTACTGAGGCTCACACTCATGTCAGAGTAAACAGACCTTACTACTGAGGCTCACACTCACCGTCCACCCTCCTCCATCTGTACTCATGTCACAGTAAACAGACCTTACTACTGAGGCTCACACTCACCGTCCACCCTCCTCCATCTGTACTCATGTCACAGTAAACAGACCTTACTACTGAGGCTCACACTCACCGTCCACCCTCCTACATCAGTACTCATGTCACAGTAAACAGACCTTACTACTGAGGCTCACACTCACCGTCCACCCTCCTCCATCAGTACTCATGTCACAGTAAACAGACCTTACTACTGAGGCTTACACTCACTGTCCACCCTCCTCCATCTGTACTTATTTCACAGTAAACAAGCTTTACTTTAGAGGCTACCGTTATCATGTATACTCCATCAGTTCCCTTTAAACTCGGGTATTTCCGTAAAATATCCCAGCAACTATGACAATTAATTGAAAGCACTGCAAAACAAAATGTGTTTAGATGTAAAAGTGATTTATTTAATTTTTAACATCCACTAATAATAAGTCAGTGATTGATTTGTTGATTGTATGTTGTTTAACGTCTTCTGTTGACAGAAAAAACCCGCAATGAGTCCAAAATATTGGTCAGGAATTTTATTATATAGTCATTGCTATTGGATTATTGGGAATATATTCGTTTATTTTAACGGGGTCAGTTTTCCTGGTTTATTGGGGGGGGGGGGTATTAATTTATATTTGAGGTTGTAAGATACATGTATACTATAACGTGATTTAGTACTTTGTAATGTTGACATTTATTGGAGGATATAAATGCGTGTGTACCTCAAAAACACCAAAAAGTAAATATTAATTGCGATTTTGAGATTTCACAGTATTTAATCTTCTATCTTTAATCTTAATATGAAGCAAAATCGGAACTTAATAAAGAATTTAAATGTGCGAGTAAGGTTAAGATATTTGAATTTTCTGTGAATCTATATTGATTTTAAGAAAAGATCTGATAAATCTAAAATGAGTAGTTTTGCAAAGTTTGGCTTCAGTTATCAAAATATATATACAATAATTCTTCAGTTTTTTAATTAATTAACTTCCAAAAACTAGCTTCAACTTAATACTTAAAATATTAAATAGAATTTACAATGATATTCTGTACCTTCTGACAAGGACCGGTTCAATTCATTCAGAACCTGCCGATCGTTGTTGAGCGTTTCATTTACAGACACTGCAAAACTCTCGAACTTGTCCTCCATCTTTTTAATCTGTCTGGCGAGAACTTCTACGCCACTGATCTGTAATGTCGCGTTCATTTCGCTCATTTGATCTTGAAGAACCTCAATTCCTTGACTAAGTCCTCGATCATTGTTTTCCAGAACCAAACTTTTATTTCGAAAGCTATCATCAAGTTCTTTTATTTTTACGAAGTTCCTGTTTACTTCTGTTACATGGGATTTATTCAGAGTGTTTATTCTCTCAAATGTGCTCATGTCCGATGACTTCAATGTCTCCATGTCTTTTCGAACACCTCTTTCCGTTTGTTTTATAGTATTATTTAACAAATCAAGTTGTTTTTCAAAAGCTGCATTTTTCAAGGTTTGTTTAAGATTTTCATCGTGGAGAGCTGAAGTCTTACTTTTTATTTTCTGATCAAGATTTTGAATTTCGTCCTTTGTCAAGTTCCTATTGTCATTCACCGTCCCATACACCGTCTTTAATTCCTCTTTAAGTTTGTTGTTTTCTTCCTCCATATTTTGACTTTTAGTCTCCAAATCCTTCAAGTCCTTTGTCACCTCACTAAGCTTTGCCTTCATAAGTTGTCTATTGTTTTTGTTGTCTATGGCATCCATCACTAAACTTTGTATTTTTTGTACCATAGAGAAGCGTACCAGACTGTCCTGATTCAGAATGTCACGTAGGACGTTGGACGCTCTACCTGACACGTTACTGGGTAACAAATTAGATTTGTCTGATGCTTTTTCAGGTAATGGTAATTGTCCAAAGGTCCTGCACGCGTACATAGAGAGTATTAAAATAAATATTCGTTGACACTCCATCTTTGTTACTTATGCATAAGAGGGCATTTTCTTGGTTTTATATTGTGCAGAACTGGGCGTAAGTTATCTACGCGATGATTGACGAATTGAGATAAATGTGTTTTACCAAAACGATGAAACTTTCAATCTTTGTTTATAATGTGCAGATTGAATAAACACATATCAAAGACGAGGTACACTAATGTTATGTTTTCAGTTTTCTACTTTTTTATGAAAACATTTTATCCTGGATCTAATCACTAATATTTACGTAATATCCGAGTCAAGTTAGTTCAAATAATAATTTAGTTCCTAATTGAAATCCTGTTTGTAGACTTTTAAAGAGACCCGGGTCTGAATCATGAGTATTTGTTTATAAATTAAAAACATGATAAGTAAGCATGAAACGTGAACATTTTTTGGCAATTACGAAACGAATCATATGTATATCCTCAAAATCTTTAAATGCTCTCTTTCTCTCATATACTTTCACAAATATCTCTTTTTCTTTTAATTGAATTGGCTTTCCTTTTCATTTTTTTAGAAGTGTCTACATGTAGACTGCTTTGTATGATGTCGCATCATCTTTGAGAACTTCAATTTATGTATTTATTACACGGTTATTGTGTGTTTGATGACCAAACTTTTATTTTACGCAACATTTAAAATTTGTCATATCTATGAGGTTACCTTTAACAGTGCCTATTTGATATGCATTCATATTTTTATTGTCATCCACTGACCAAGTTTGATATAGCATTATTTTGCTTTTCATCCCATATACTGTAATCTTTTTACTTTGCTACGTCTCTTTTATTATATCGTCCCAAATGAACGCCCCGAACGAAGTCGGGGACGACATATTAGGATTGTACACATGTTTTTGTTTTACTGGCTGTTTCTTGGAGATGGCTGGGACAATCAACCCAAACATCTGTATAATGAGAGAAATAAAACATAAAATATCTGCAATGTAAGTTTATTAAAAAAATCGTTTTTTTTCTATAATGTCCTTAATGATACGAATTGTTATATTAGTTTAGATTTATCATGCTTAAAAATTATGTGTGTTTGTTTTAATATCTAACTATTTTCTACACTCGATCACATCTATATCCACTGTCCTTTGATAGTACAATAGATATTCAAGAAATAATCTGTCTGCATTTTACCTTTGAATATAATTCCATGCTGAAATGTAAAGAAATGCTATACCTTTTGACGATACCAATTTCAATTCATTCACATCCTCAGCATTCTCCTGTGTTTCATTGTAAGGAACCACAATACTTTTTAACATGTCCTCTGTCTTTTCCACCCTCTCGACAAGGTCCACACTGCCCTGTATAGTCACATTCCTTTTCATTCATTTTCTCTTTGAGAACCTGAATTTCTTTTGTTAATGCACGGTCATTGTTTTTTAGGACCACGCTTTCATTTCTTTCATCATCTTCAAGTTCTTTCATTTTTCTGAGATTGCTTTCAAAAGTGATAATTTGAGATTCATTCAAGGTTTTGATTTTTTCCAAAGTCATATTTTTATTGTCATTTACTGAACCATAAATCGATTCTAATTTGTCTTGAAGTTTGACATTTTCCTATTTCATTACTTGGTATTCTAACTCCAAATCCTCTAAGTCTTTTGTCACGTCGCTAAGTTACGACTTTATGACTTTACTATCAGTTTTCCTGTCGGTAGCATCCATCACTAAACTTTGTATTTTTTGTACCATAGAACATTTGACGCTTATCGGTTACGTTGTTAGGCAACAAACCATTCTTATCGGAATTCTTGCCCTCGGTTAAAGGCATAAGGGCAAATATTCCATTTACGCAGTAAGTGCAAAAAGAGAATAAAGCATAGTACTTGTAGAATCCCCATCTTAGCAGTTGCAGTTGATGAATAAAGAAACTGTTTAAAATCATTGTAGCACTGAGTGTTGACCAATTAAGTAAGAAATACAAGTACGTAGAATATTTTGTTTTTTTCCGCCGAAAATATGGCTGATGCTTGATATACATTTACCCTGACAATAGATATTTTGTCTCAACTGAAGAGTATATTCCGACTCTACTTTCTTGTACGTAAAAGTAATTTAGCTTCTGACCTCATTAGTCTCTAATGCATTTTATCTTCAATAAAAACTCTTGATTCGAAATTTAAAAAAAAATATTAATCCCCAGAAATATCAATTGCAAACCTTTATTTTGGCAATTGAGAAAATCGTTAAGAAGGGATGGGCCTTATTAATCTATTTTCTTATATAAATTATGAATACTATTTAGCGATTGAGGGGCAATATGGAAATTATCTATCCCTTTTTAATTTCCCGATCATGATAAGGAGGGAACGACAGGTTTCACCAGTCGACAAAGGGATAATCACTCCTATAGGGCATCCAGTCTTACCTCTGATGTCTTAGAGGTCGTGTTTCTACTCCAATTGTGCATTGTTTAATGGACTTTTGAGTTTGAATACCGTTCGTTATCTCCATAAATTATATTTTCAAGTGGTACTTCACCTTATACCAATAGCGTCCTTTCTTAAAAGAAAATATTTAAAATCATCGTTCGGATTTAAATGATTTTAACATTCTTAACCATCAAAATGAATTTAAATTACCATTCAGCAGTATATCAGAAAGGTAGTGTAAATCAGACATGGATAATTAAACTCCAAGGAATTTTTTATAAAAAACTCCAAGGAACTTTTAGAAAACTTGATATCACATTTTATCAAAGTCAATAAAATCAAAACTTAAAGGCATTTCAACACTTTGTACAATGATCCCCCACGAAAAATTAAAGTCGAAATGTTTCTGACATCAATCACAGTTGCTTATTCAATAAAAACTCATAAAGACACTAAACCTATCAGTAGTTTTATATGCACAATTATTATATTAAACTCTAATAAGTTTGATCACAAAAGAAAGAAATGTAAGGAGATAACAAACAGTATTCCACCTCAAAATACCATAAAACGATACAAAATAGGAACAAAGCAATCACGGACCTCCAATACATCAGGTGGGATCAGGTGCCACGGAGGAGTGAGCATCCCCTGCCGTCTGGTCGCACCCGCCGTGTGTTCCTTGTCATGTTCGGGAAATAACAGAAATAACGGAAAAATCCGAAATCAATTCAGTGTATAAATTTTTGACTAACAATAAGTATGAAAAACGTCAGTCAGCATTTAACTCAATGATACAGTAGATCACTAAATATTCGCGATAGCATATTTTCACGAGATTGCAATCAACTCTTTATAAGCGAGACAAAATTTTCACAATGTATGGTTTTTGCTCTAAATAATCTAAGGAATGTTAATATACGAAGGAATGAAATTTTTGCGAGTAAACTTTCTTGTGTTATTACCCTAAATAATGTCTTCGTAAATGAAACATATGGCTATAATGAACAGTATTCAAAATCAAAGGTCCATAAAACAATACAAAATAGGAGCAGAGCAAACACAGTACTCCGAAACATCAGAGGTAGGATCAAGTTTAATGTTTAAGTAACGGACAAGTCATTTACTATTTAAATGGGCTGAAAACATTGAAAACACGATAACCTTTACACAGAATACTAGTAAGCCCGTTGTTTTCACTCTCTTAATATTTAAAACCTTCAAAGACTGCATCCTCCCTTTCATGTATGAGCTATGACAGGGGGTCCGCCATATCATTTCACTCACAAAACTTGTCTGTTGACAAGCTTTATAACACTGATGAAATTAAATGTTAAATAATCCTACACGTTCTACATACATTACAAATGTATAAATAATACATTTACATTTAATCATTTTCAGAAATGCTAAGAGATAGTGAAAAATTTTTATTACCTTTTCATGCATGTATTTTATTTTATGTTCCGAGGTTCATTCTACATACATGAAGCTTGTGCGTAGATATGCTTTAGGCATTTTATTATTTTGTGTTTTTATAAAAAAAAAATTATTTAAGAAACATGTTTACATGTGCATTATTTATTTATAATTGCTCAAATTAAGAAATTAAGAATTTTATAATTTTATAAATTTCTATTTAAAAAAAACAGATAGTATCTGTCCATTGCACCAGTCTTAGTGGGATAAGCAAATACTCAAACGTTGCATATACTGTTTTGAATAATCATCATTATAAAAATGATAATTTTATGATGTTTCATGATACATTATTTAATTCTAGGTTTTGTATCTGATCATCATCACAGTCTGTTTTAATGCTTCCCATACTTTCCACTGATGCCATACTGTGTACTGATCACCAGACACACCAGACTGTCCGTACAGTCCGTTCATGTTTGCATACGCACAGTACCTGTACCACCAGCCTCCGTGGTATGATGTAGCACAGTTACCACCACGACTATGCATGTCATTATCCTGGTCCTTTGTTGTGAATTTATTTCCATTGTTATAAGTCAAAGCGTCACCTATAACAGAGTATTGATAACCTTAAATTATCAAAATATCAATTAAAGTAGAACAATTATCAAAAAGGTACATGTTATTGTCCTCTCTATTGAACAACTTCTAAATGCCTTTAATTAATTTGTAGCGTACAAAAGCGAATAAGTTCTACCTGCTGTTCCTGAATACCCCGATACAGTGAGTTTGTATTTACTGTCTTCATCCTCGACATAAAATGTGGAGTACTGAGCGTATGCTTTGTCTCCGTTAAATCTTTGTAGTTCAACCCGGAGTTCCTGGTCCTTGTTCTTTGTCAACTCATAGATTGCGTCATTTCCTTTAGAAATACATGTATTTTCATTTTGAGAAAGTTATACTGTTTTCCTTTGAAATGTTTTAAGGAATATGAGTAAAATTTTAATCGAGTTTTCAAGAAAGATCTCTGAAGAATATTTCAAATCTGCATGGATTTCTCAGCTAAAAAGATTTAATTAATGAATTTCTATTAATGAAAGCTTACATGAACTTGGTGAAGCTTTCTTTTCAAACGAACTTCATCATCGTAATTCATGTACAAGAATATATCAGAGTAACAAAACGTTCTTAGGTACATCCCATATTGCTACATTTTTATTTTGTTGAATGTTTTTACAGAATTATTTGTTATTTGTTTTTTTTTATCTGAATCTGAGTCAGTTTGTCTGTGTGTGAGAGGTAGGGTGAGTGAAAGAGTGTGTGTGAGAGTGTGTGTGTGTGTGTCTACCAGCGTTGTACTGGACTTTTACGAGAAGCGCTGACTTTCACAATCGACGCTTACTTTTACACAGATTAAATGTACGGGAGCTCGTTTTTAATATAAATATTGAAATAAACAGTTGGTAATTAGATACGATTAATTTGGTCATTTAACATTAGTTTACTCTTAGTTAAGTATAGTTACTGTATATTGTATTTTTTTTAAGTTTTGACTAAAGTAAATAAAAACATTTTTACTATAAATTTCAAATAGATATATGTTTTATTATCTTAATATCCTACAACCATTTTTCTGACGTCTTTAGTAAATTATAGTTAACTATAATATAGACAATTTTTGTTATAGTTGCAACCGCCCTTTTTAAAACCCCTACACAATCCACAAATTGTTGTTTTAGCTCTCTATAACACATGTTCATATTGTATACCATGTAAGCGCTCTAAATACAATTTTTACTTTTAAATTTTTCTTTGGCTAGATTATACGTAGGAGGAAAATGCAATTGACTAAATAATCCATGAATTCACTCTATCTGTTGATTATTTTAAACACATTTGATATAGTCTTGTTTGTAGTCATACCGGTATTAATTTTCCTTTTCTGATGTTTTGTTCGGGACAAAACTGCAAATTATTCACTGCATTAAATTTAATGACAAGAGAATTTTGGGTGTGTATTTTTTGACTTGATTGGAACCCCCCCCCCGCCCCCTAGAAAAAAAAATTCAGGATCCGTGCGAGTTCATATATGAATGATTATAATTTTAACCCAAAAGTGAATACAATGACGTATTGTTACAGTGTTAGATTTATTAATTTATTTAATAAATCTATGATATATTTCATGTTTTTAATTTGTAAATAAATGTATTGATAAAGAATATATAAAGGTCACCAAAGGTAGAACAGGTAGTACCTGTACTTAATTATTATTGCCTTGGGGTATGAAAGTTCTGGTCTTTGGTCTTTGGTTTGAAGTATACATGGTTTTCATTGGTTTGGACATTGTAAGGTTGTGTTTTATTGGTTTACTTATTTTTCCCTCCAAAAGTTGTTTTGTTATGGTCATTCTTTGTCCAGTCTTTCAGTAGAGAGGGCCATATTCATAGATTTGATAATTCAGACTTTTTGACATTTGACTTAGACGATATTTCTCTCTATTAAGGTAAGCTAATATTTATATACTAATTCTAATATGATTTCTAATATTTGATTTAACTGTAAAGTCTGTAATTTTGCCAAAGTTAATTCCATAGCACTTTCACGGTTAGAATCTGATTGAGAGATAGAATTTCTGAGTAACTGTTTTATTGATGCAGATAGTAGTTTTTATTTAAATAGATATGTAGATATTTTTATGATAGGTTTACTTATGTAAACTATGGTAATTTGTAGTTATATGATATGATCTGGACCTTGTGAGCCATACTGAGTCAGACACTCTATTGATTGGGAGAGGCTCAATCCCATAGATTGGTATGCTATTATTGTTTTATATATTTTATGATATCCTAAAAGAGTAAAGTCTGTGTAGACGTTATTGTAACATGTAGATCAATATTGTTGTATAAAGGTTTTATGATTTTTCAAAGAGTATAATATTGAAAGGGAGCATTATTCTATTTTATAATGTGTAATGTGAAGAGTTACCTCCCTTTATGCAGCGTATCTGTTAACCGCAAATTGTAGTAACTATATTGATACGGATATGTTAGAATATTTTATGCTATGTATTTATTATTTGTTATTATAAATTTCAGGGCATTTTCCTTTATCCTGTTTCCTATTTTCCATTTCTGTGTTCATCTGTATGTGAATAAATGGAGATGTTATGAACCCTGAAACGGACTTACTTATACTTCTATTATAACTAAGAAACCGTTACAGTATGATCAGGAACACATGGTATTGTTAATTACGCATGTACGACCCTTGTGTTTTGAATGATCACACAAGCAGTAGCCTATACTATAATTTCAATCCCTTAAAAATTGAAAACTTAATATTCATTGTTTCATGACTTTCCGGATTAAACAATACTTTATCAATACTGTGAATACAGTTACAATAGTATTTCCCCCTATTTTCTCGTAATTTTTCATTTTGAAAATTTGACTTTGTGTAGGCCTCAGAACCGGAGGCTGGGGGCATCTTCCGGAAATATGATGATGAATGATGATGAATGCCTTTTGCTAGGTGACAAAATTTATCCAAACTGACATCCAATCCAGGCACGTAGCATCGTTTTTGAAATTAAGGGGAGGGGGCAGCCTGAGATCTGAGATAATTTATTTGACTTACCTGTTAAAGTTGAAAAGCAAAAAATAAATAAATTAATAAAAAATTGCCCAAACTCGAAAGTAGGAGAGGCAAACTTTTTTCAATGCCAACTTCTTTCAGTAACAATTTTTCTTTACATTCAATATAACATTTCCCTAATATCGACTTCCTGTAGTATCAAGTTTGGGGGAGAGGGGGGGGGGTGAGGGGCAACCATCCTTTTAATGTACATTTCCAATAGTTAAAGTAATGTTGGGGAAAAAAATGCCCCCCCCCCCCCTTGCTACGTGCCTGCAATCACAACCCCTTTCACTATACATGGTAGGGGTGTTATAGATATAAGGAAATTGTCAGAAATTGCATGAATAGCCTGATTTAAGAAGACGTGTACGGTAGAGCGCACAATATGTAAAATCAAAACGTAAATATTTGAGTAGTGTGTGGAGAAAACGTAGATATAAATTACGACGAGTTTTTTTTTAAATTGTATATGGCCTCATTTATAGAAGACATTGAAAATAAAACATTTTATTATAATTTTTTTTTCTTCAATCAATATAATGAGTATAAGTTTGAAATTTTAAAGTTATTTTTAATTGAAAAGTTGATGCTTAGATTGGTATGATATATAGCTTCATTTATTTGAAACACTAGTTACTGTACTTTTAGAATTTTCGATCACTTTTTGGTAATATGTCTTTTGTTAACTGAAAACGTAAAATCACTTCTTTTCTTAAAGAAATCCCAATCAATATAAATGTTAACGTCTCTATTTGAGGGAACAAATTCTTATACTGGACGTAAAGAACATGCAATCAATCAAGCAGACAATAATTTTCATCGTGTGATCGTCAACTTTAAAATTCATCTTCGATCGTACTTTTATTTTGGATTTAATTATATCCACAGAATAAATGAATATTATCAATTCTGTGCCTCCTTACATAAGGCAGGTTTAAATGTAAATGTAAGCGTCGATTGTAAAAGTCAGCGCTTCCTGTAAAAGTCCAATAGTATTATAAACTTATATATATATATATATATATATATATATATATATATATATATATATATATATATATATATATATATATATATATATATATATATATAAACTCAGTTCATACATCAGTTTTACCCATGACCTTGTACAGAGAATTTTTATAGGCAGATGGCATGTTGGTGTTCGGTGTTCTGGATACATATTGTTTTAATCAATTGATGTTTCACATGCCGGATTTGGGAAATTCTAAATGTAATAGTAATATTAATGTGATGGATAACTTTGAATTGAAGTGTATGCAAAAAAACTACATTATACAATTATGGACTTTTTGTAAGGGAGACATCACCAATTATCAGGTTTGAGTAGGGTTGATTCAAATTAATTTAAATGATTAAATAATTGTATGTTGTTTTACATTCCATTTTAGAATTTTTCAAGTTTATAGAGACATCACCATGTACCGGTGAAAGAGTGCTGCATTTTATCTTTACTGGTCAATCAGGGTCATTGAGTAGTTAGGGAACTTTATCGTGCGAATACCTGTCATGACTCGGCGTCTCTCTGTTTAAGATCTCATCGAAAACAAAAGGTCCATGGGCCACATCGCTCACATGAGAAGCTTAAACCACGCTGGGTTTTTTTTTACCATATTTCCCTCTTGTAATACATATTGTGACAACACCCTACCCCACTGATCATAATTTGGACAATTTGAAATCTACACTATCCCTGGAAGCTTCCACATAAGTTTCAGCTTTTCTGGTCCAGTGATTCTTGAAAAGAAGATTTTTCCTTATATATTTCTATGAAAAACTTTGAATCCCTATTGTGCCCCCTTACCCCGGGGTCATGATTTGAATGATTTAAAATCTCCACTTCCCCAGGATGCTTCCACATCAGTTTCAGCTTTTTTGGACCAGTGGTTCTTGAAAAGAAGAGTTTCAAGGATTTTTCCTATATATTTCAATGTTAAACTTTGATTCTTCATTGTGGCCCCGCCCTACCCCGGGGGGTTTCAGCTTTACTGGCCCAGTGGTTCTTGAGAAGAAGATTTTTTAATGAGCCCAACCTATTTTTGTCTTTTCTTGATTATCTCCCCTTGTAAGGAAACTTGACCCTTCCTTTTAAAGGAACTTGGACACAGATTTGAAGTTAATATTTTCTGTATAATATCACAAATTATATATTTTAATAGCATTTCACACAAAAATTAATTAAAAATCTCATTTCATTCAAAAGATATTAAAACTTTAAATTTTTGATTGACACATCTTTGCACTTTAACAAATTTTAACTTTATTCTGATTATTTCTTAATCCTTCGGAAAAGTGGCAATCTTGTTGTGTATTAATGAGAAATATTAAAACTTTAATCCTGAAAAATAATTTTATTCAGAGTAGAAATGTTAGAAAGCAAAACTCCTTCACAAGTATCGTCATTCCGAGCGAAGTGTTGTGCGCAAATCGATCACACTCGTGTTATGTATACAGTTTTTGCAAACAGGGCACGAGCTCTATTTTTGTTGATGTTTACAATTCATCGGGTGCGTTCATTTCAAGTCTGCTTACCACAACTGCACGGACTGAGAATACATTGTGTGTTTGTTTTGCTTTCGAACATGTCTACTTTGAGTTTTCTGGATTATAGTATTAATATTTTTCATTTTTACACAACAAGATTGCCACTTTTCCTAAGTATTAAGAGTAAAATAAAAAAAATTGAAAGTGCAAGGCTGTGTCAATCATACCCGCCAACACATTTAAAGTTTTTATAAGTTTTAAATGAAATAATTTTTTTATTAATTTTTGTTTGAAAAGCTATTAAAATATATAAGTCGTAATATTATAGAGAAAAAATTAACTTCAAATCTGTGTCCAAAAACCTTTAACAATTTTCATTTCCCTTTACCCAAGGATGCTTTGTACAAAGTTTGGTCAAAATTGGCCCAGTGGTTCTTGAAAAGGCAAAATTGGTTGAAAGTGATAGGTAAGTTAAGACTTGTATTAGAAAATAGAGCATTGCTCTATTCTTAATACAGTTTTAGAAGATTCGAAAAATCTTATTATACACTGTATTAAGAGTGTATACACAGTAAGATTTTGTATTATAATATAAATCTTATAAAACAAATCTTCCCGTGTACACCTGCCTTTAGATTGACGCCTTATAATGTAAATGTTACATGAGCTAATCTAACCAATCCAGTAGTTTTTAGAGGCATCCCCAAATCCTTGCTTATATTCAGACCACGTCTTGTAAAAATCTGTAGACCCGTCCAGTCTTCTTTGAATAGTCTAAAATAATAATTAATTTTTTTTCAATTTGATTGAATACCAGTAATTGAAGACCTTAATGTAAATATTTCAAACACATACGAATCGATTTTATATTGTGTTAAGGAAAAAAATCAAAAAATTATAGCAATCTTAATTTTTCTTACCGTCCAACATCCTCCATCTGTACTTATGTTACAGTAAACAAACCTTAATACTGCGGCTCACACTCACCGTCCACCCTCCTCCATCAGTACTCCTGTCACAGTAAACAGACCTTACTACTGAGGCTCACACTCACCGTCCACCCTCCTCCATCAGTACTCATGTCACAGTAAACAGACCTTACTACTGAGGCTCACACTCACCGTCCACCCTCCTCCATCAGTACTCATGTCACAGTAAACAGACCTTACTACTGAGGCTTACACTCACTGTCCACCCTCCTCCGTCAGTACTCATGTCACAGTAAACAGACCTTACTACTGAGGTTCACACTCACCGTCCACCTTCCTCCAACAGTACTCATGTCACAGTAAACAGACCTTACTACTGAGGCTTACACTCACTGTCCACCCTCTTCCGTCAGTACTCATGTCACAGTAAACAGACCTTACTACTGAGGTTCACACCCACCGTCCACCCTCCTCCATCAGTACTCGTGTCACAGTAAACAGACCTTACTACTGAGGCTCACACTCACCGTCCACCCTCCTCCATCAGTACTCATGTTACAGTAAACAGACCTTACTACTGAGGCTCACACTCACCGTCCACCCTCCTCCATCAGTACTCGTGTCACAGTAAACAGACCTTACTACTGAGGCTCACACTCACCGTCCACCCTCCTCCATCAGTACTCATGTCACAGTAAACAGACCTTACTACTGAGGCTCACACTCACCGTCCACCCTCCTCCATCAGTACTCATGTCACAGTAAACAGACCTTACTACTGAGGCTCAAACTCACCGTCCACCCTCCTCCATCAGTACTCATGTCACAGTAAACAGACCTTACTAATGAGTCTCAAACTCACCGTCTTCCATCTTCCATCAGTACTCGTGTCACAGTTAACAGACCTTACTACTGAGGCTCACACTCACTGTCCACCCTCCTCCATCTGTACTCATGTCACAGTAAACAGACCTTACTACTGAGACTCACACTCACCGTCCACCCTCCTCCATCAGTACTCATGTCACAGTAAACAGACCTTACTACTGAGGCTCATACTCACCGTCCACCCTCCTCCATCAGTACTCGTGTCACAGTAAACAGACCTTACTACTGAGGCTCACACTCACCATCCACCCTCCTCTATCTGTACTCATGTCACAGTAAACAGACCTTACTACTGAGGCTCACACTCACCATCCACCCTCCTCTATCTGTACTCATGTCACAGTAAACAGACCTTACTACTGAGGCTCACACTCACTGTCCACCCTCCTCCATCTGTACTCATGTCACAGTAAACAGACCTTACTACTGAGACTCACACTCACCGTCCACCCTCCTCCATCAGTACTCATGTCACAGTAAACAGACCTTACTACAGAGGCTTACACTCACCGGCCACCCTCCTCCACCTGAACATCAGTATTCATGTCACAGTAGACAGAATCGACTACTGAGGCTCACACTCACCGTCCACCCTCCTCAATCAGAACTCCTGTCACAGTAAACAGAAATTCCTACTGAGACTCACACTCACCATCCGCCTTCCTCCATCTGTACTCATGTCACAGTAAACAGACCTTACTACTGAGGCTTGCACTCACCGTCCACCCTCCTCCAATAGTACTCATGCCACAGTCAACAGACCGTACTTCGGAGGTTCACACTCACTGTCCACCTTCCTCCATCTGTACTCATGTCACAGACAACAGACTTTACTACTGGGACTTACACTCACCGTCCAACCTCCTCCATCAGTACTCATGTCACAGTAAACAGACCTTACTACTGAGGCTCACACTCACCGTCCACCCTCCTCCATCAGTACTCATGTCACAGTAAACAGACCTTACTACTGAGTCTCACACTCACCGTCCACCCTCCTCCATCAGTACTCATGTCACAGTAAACAGACCTTACTACTGAGGCTCACACTCACCGTCCACCCTTCTCCATCAGTACTCATGTCACAGTAAACAAACCTTACTACTGAGGCTCACACTCACCGTCCACCCTCCTCCATCAGTGCTCATGTCACAGTAAACAGACTTTACTTTAGAGCCTACGAATATTCTGTATACACCATTTCTTCCCTTATAAGACGGGTATTTCCGTAAAATTTCCCAACAACTACCACAACTCATTGAAAGCGCTGCAAAATAAAATGTGTTTGGATTTTAAAGATTATTTATTTACTTGTATTCATGTTAACAATTTAGACTCCACTAGTAATCGATCACTCATTGATTAATTTGTTAATTAATTGTTTGTTGTCTAATATCTTCTGCTAACTGACAAAACCTGCGATGAATTCAAAATTTTGCTCAAGAATTATTATGTAGTCATTGCCACTCGATTATGGGGAATATATTCATTATTATTTTTATTTTACCGCGGTCAGTTTTCGTGGTTTATTGGTCGTGGTGGTGGGGGGGGGGCTTATTGATTTAAATTCGAGGTAGTAAGATATACTAGAACGTGATTCTGACATTTCTTGGAGGATATGAAACGGTGAGTAACTTTATGCCTCGAAAAACAACAAGAAGTAAATATTTAATTGAAAATTTGTGATTTCACAGTATATGATCTTCTTATTTTAAATATTCAAGCAAAAATGGAACTTAAATGATAAAGAAATTGAATGCGTGAAGAAGTTTAAGATATCCGAATTTTCTGTGAATTTATACCGATTTTAAGAAAATATTTTATATATTTAAAATGAGTATTGTAAAGTTTGGATTCAGTTATAAAAATTTACAATATTACACGATAAAATGAAAATATTGGGGAGGGGTTGGTTTGATCAGTCTTTATTTGAAATCTTATATTTTCATAAAAAGGATAATTCTTCAATGTTTAAATTAATTAACTTCCATAAACTAGCTCCAAACTTAATATTAAAAATAGATAGAATTTACAATGATATTCTGTACCTTCTGACAAGGACTGGTTCAATTCATTCAGAACCCGCCGATTGTTGTTGATCGTTTCATTTACAGACACTGCAAAACTCTCGAACTTGTCCTCTATCTTCTTAATCTGTCTGGCGAGTAATTCCTCGCCACTGATCTGTAATGTCGCGTTCATTTCATTCATTTGATCTTGGAGAGCCTCCATTCCTTGACTA